TGCTAAGTATGACCTATTGATAACTGAAGAAAAATCAAAAGCCACAAGTGAAAATAAGCCATTAATTTTTGAAACCATGCTCTTTCTATAGTTACTCTTAAGCACTGCCCAAGAATTAACTCTTAGATTTTAGGAGTAGCTCAAACTCAAACACATATATTTATATATACTATACATATTATATTATTAATTAGTTCTAAATGGATTGTATAAAAACAATATTTTATACATGTGTAAAGTTTTATATAATTTTATTAAATTTAATATATAATAAATTAAATATCTATTATAATATTATGTTTATTAAATACAATATATAATTTATATAGCTATATAGGCAAAATGAGTATTACTATTTTGGACCTGTTGTTCATTTGGCCAAGTATTCTCGAGTATGCTATGACATTATGTGTAGGTCACCCAAAGTCTAGTATTAATGATAGTAAGAATAACAAATATTTATGTTGCGCTTACTATGTGCTAGAGATGATCCCAAAAATTAACATATATTAACTCATTTGATTCTCACAACACCTGTATAGGGCAGATCTTATTATTCGCATTTTTACAGATGAGAAACTGAGTTATGAAAAGGATTATTTATCCATGGTCAGATAGCTAGTTTGTAGCAGACCCGAGTTTTGAACCCAGGCATTCTGGTTTTAGAATGTGTGATAATAAACTTTTAGATTTGTATGGTGCTTTATAATATTTAAAATGCTTTCATACATGTTCTCCAATTCCTTAGAAAACTCTTGTGATGTGTTTAGGGCAAGTATTATCTTAATTTTTACAAAATCTAACAATTCCATATATATATACATATATATATATATCTTTTGCATTTCCACAGTACATCTCATACATTATTTTATGTAATTTTCAATGAAGGAATGAGAATAAGTAAGGAAAATATTATTATCTTCATTTAATGGTTTTGATTTTTAAAAAGTCCCTGGAGCACAGATAGCCTAAATGACTCTACATTGGATATACAGTTACTTAGTGGAAAAACTTCAGCTGAAGTCAGTAATATAACCAATGATTTGGGTGCACTTACCATAAGCCAGAGAATTAAATTAGGCACTTTAATAATATTTAATCCTCACAAGAATCCTATGAAGAATCCTATGAATCCTATGCACTCATGGGTATTACCTCTATTTTGAAGATGTGAAAACTGAGACTTAGAGAGTTTGATGACTTTACCTAAAGCCTCAAGTCACAGGGTCGGTACAAGTCAACAGGTCTATCTAACTAGAGTTTCGTTATTTTCTCTATTGCATACTGAATTCATATAGAAGACAGTTAATATATTGAAATTAACTTAAGCAAAGTAGCAAGAGGACATTAGTATGTATTTGTACAAACTTCATTCTTACACTTCAGTGGTCCTTCTAGTACAGTCATATGTTGCTTATCAATGGGGATACATTCTGGGAAAAGGGTCACTAGGCGATTTAGTCGTTGTGTGAACATCATAGAGTATACTTACACAAATCTAGATGATATAGCCTACTATACACTTAGGCTATATGATACTAATTTTAAGGGACCCCTATTGGTCCATCATGGACCAAAATGTGGGTATGTGGCACATGCTTGTATATTATTTTGATGATTTAATTTATATCTCCTTTGTGAAAATGGGTAGTTCTTGTCTTAAACCCTCACTTTCAAGACAGTCTGTGCACACAAACGAGTTCAGAAGTGGAGAGAGGAAAGAGGCATACAAAATGACAATCGTTAAGAATGTAGGGACCTAGGGAAAACTCAGGGTCAAGGTTTGCTCACCTATCTGGTTTCATCATTTGACAAAAAGGCAAAAACATTTAGAAGGAGCATGGAATTATCAGTTTAAAGAAATTGAATTATTTTACTCATATTGCTTTCTCTTGATTCCTTGCTAAAAGCAATTTCATTAAGCTATGGAAGTTTGCTTGGGGAAGGGGGTACCATTTTGCAGTATGAATGCATTGAGGGGAACATGGGCTTTGGAATCTTTTAATTGTTTGCTAATTTTTCTAACCCTTAGTTTTCTATCTGAAAAATGTGGATCATGTGAGCTACAGTGATACAGTTGTTGTTAGGATTCAAATAATTAAGATGTATGTAAATTATTTATCATTGTGCTGGTGTGTCTTATTATTTGAGGAGTAGGGAAGACTCAGAAGGTTGTTAAAATAGTGGGGTAGGGATACATAAGAGCTGTGAGAACATGTAATTTAGGAGGGAAAAGAGTAGAAGAGATAAAGACCCTGAAAAGGAAATGAGATAATATAAAAGATAAACTTTTCTTTTTTCAAAATGCTGTCAAGTGCTAACCTCAACTTTAGAAAACTACTTTCTTTTCCATCATTTCCTTCCATAAATTAATTTCTCTGTTCTTTGAACTCAGAACTTAGGTTAGTTATATTATAGTTTCAATAAGCTTTTATAAAATAATTTGGGAACAAAGCTAACATAGCATTAGAATTCAGAGTGCAATATCTGAACCAAATAATGAAAGAAAAGCTGCAGATAATTGATTACAAATAAACTTTGGGAATACATGTTCTTAAGAACTGCCATTATGGGGCAGCAAAAAGGTGAATGGTTAGGGATTATATATAATTGACTATAAATAGTTCCAAGAGCCAAAATATTACACAATTTTTTAGTTAAAATTTTTCTTCACCTTTCCATTTTGGTGGTAAGATCACAAAATTTCTGGTATATAGTAAAGTATTACTATTTTATTGAATTATGTAATGTTCCAAGATTAATTTTTGAGTAAAAGTAACTGAATTTGAAGTCTTAAACAATTGTATATGAATACTGATCATGCTAATTTATGAACTGTCTGATTTTGGTGAGATTTCTAGCTTCTCCAAACTTTAGTTCAGTTAGTATAAAATGTTGACGACAATACCAACCTCCCTGGTTTGTGGTGAGGATTAAATAATCAAGTCTACAAAATGGCTGGCTAATAATAGGTGCTCAATAAATGTCATTTTCCTCCTTGCTTTACAGGTTTTTACTGCATATTGAGAATGATTCAGCCTACACATATATTCTTTGAAGTTAACTTTATTAGTGGGATTATGGACACAATTATATAAAATTTTGATTAGTATACAATTTCTCTGAGATCTTTAAGAAATTTCAGGACTAAGCCCGGTATAGTCTGTTTAATAAAAGTTTGTTGTTATTGAAGTTTGTTGTAGGAAGAATCGATAGACAGTTGATTCTACTTTTGCTAAGAATTGTGCTAGTAATAAGTGATACCAACAATAAAGATGACAAAGTTCCCACGTTAAGCAACTTGCAATTTAATTCATTATCTGTCGCATTATATATGTGCTACAAACCTGTGAATAAACATTGAAAAAATATTGAAATAGAAGAGATTCAAACTTTCAAAGAGCTTGAATCTGAATTTTATAATGGTCAGGGGAGAGACAGAGGAAGAAGAAGAGAAGTTTGAAGAGTTGTTGATATACATCTGGGAATTTACATAAATGGATACAGGGTTTTCTCCATGCCATCATTTCAGTTTTATTTCACCTAGGCAGAGGCGTTATACATATGTTAACCGTTTTTTCCTCCATATACAAGAATTTTCATAAGTCACACCCAAAAGCTCAAAAATTTCTCTTAACTGGATTTAATTTGTAATGCATACAAAAGTGAAATTAATCTATTCTTGATTTTTTTTGTGGTAGGAATATTTAACAGGATTTCCCTTAAATTTTAAAATATGCCATATAGTATTGCTAACTATAGACACTATGGTGTACAGCAGATATCTAGAATTTATTCATCTTGCATAAGTGAAACTTTATACCCATTGAATGCCATTTAGACCTCATTTCCCCCTCCTAGCCCCTCACAACCACTATTCTACTGTCTGCATGTATGAGTTTGACCATTTTAGATATCTCATATAAGTGAGCTCGTGAAGTATTTATCCTTCTGTGACTGGCTTATTTCGCTTAGCATAATGCCCTCAAAGTTCATCCATGTCATTGCATATGGCAGGATTTCCTTCCTTTTTTAAGGCTGAATAATATTCATTGCATGTATGTATCCCATTTTCTTTATCCATTTATCTGTCAATGGGCATTTAGGTTGCTTCCATACCTTTGCTATTGTGAATAATGCTGCTGTGAACATAGGAATGCAGGTATCTCTTCAAGATGCTGATTTCAATTATTTTTGACATATACCCAGAAGTGGGTTTGCTGGATCATATGGTAGTTCTATTTTCAACTTTTTTTTTTTTTTAAGATTTTTTATTTTTCTTTCCTTTTTCTCCCCAAAGCCCCCCGGTACATAGTTGTATATTCTTTGTTGTGGGTCCTTCTATGTGGGACGCCGCCTCAGCGTGGCTTGATGAGCAGTGCCATGTCCGTGCCCAGGATTCGAACCAACGAAACACTGGGCCGCCTGCAGCGGAGCACACGAACTTAACCACTCGGCCATGGGGCCAGCCCCCTCTATTTTCAATTTTTTGAAGAACCTCCCTACTGTTTTTCACAGTGGCTATACCTGCTGTGAATATACATTCCCACTAACAGTGTACCAGGATTCCAATTTCTCCACATCCTCTCCAACATTTGTTATCTTTCTTTATAATAGCATCTTAATAGGTGTGAGGTGATATCTTATTATGGTTTTGCTTTGTAATTCCCTGATGATTAGTGACATTTAGCACCTTTTCATATAACTGTTGGCCATTTGAATATTTTCTTTGGAGAAATGTCTATTCAAGTCCTTCGCCCATTTTTAAATTGGGTTGTTCTTTGCTGTTGGGTTGTATTTAGTTTTGTTTTAATAAGGACATGTATTCCAGTGAATGAAATTACATAACCTCCTCAAGAATGATTTTGGCCTCTAAATACTTGTTATGAACATTTACCATTACCTATTAAATTTAGCGTTTTGAAATTAATTTATGTAATATAGAATTGTGTTTTCAGCAGTATACTGACAATGACATTATATGTATTCATCTTTAGTCAATACAGTGGTGTGAAGACTTTTAGCAGTTGCAGTTTGAGTGACTTTGAAAATTTCGTTTCAAAAATGGGTGCCAGATGTCTTCAGAATAAGCCACAAATGCAAGCATCTGCACAATCCACGTGTGGCAACCGCAGAGTGGAGGGCCGTGAAGTCTGTGACTGTGGCACTGTGGAAGTAGGTCTGATAACTAGGAAACTGATTAATATATTTATTGTTTTAGTTCATCCTTTTATCATAAATGTTATATATCTCAACTATGACTCAATACCATGCAGAATATTGGCAGTATGTGAAATCAAGTTTGAAATACAAGAATATACTGTCTAGGTTTTATAGATTGAAGAGTTTTGAACAAACATAAAATGTACTCCAAAAATATTATTGCTGATAGGGAAAAGGTGAATCTAGAATGAGCTTTTGGGTTCCAGACTAAATATATAAGATTTTTCCAAACCTGTGCTTAACCCTTTGGGCATTTTATAAATGTCTAACTGAAGATTAAAATGTCAGCAAACCATCAAGTATGCTGCAGGGTATTACTTCACAGTGGAATCAATAGTATAGTGAGAGAAGACTGTGTTAATATTATAGTCTGAACATTGGGTGATTTGTATTATTCACTTGATAGGGAAGCCCTGAAAATATAACGCATGCAAAAGGTCCAGGAAATAATGCTGGTAGACAATTCAATATTCGCAGCAACACTGCAGATAAACAAATGTTTTACCATTTGGTAGAACAAGTCCTCCCTCTTTGCTCCTCTTCATTTATTTTTAAATTAGTTTTATTGGGGGATGATCTACATACAATAAAATGCACCCACTTTAAGTATACAGATCGGTGTGTTCTGACATGTATATAAGCATGGGTGCAAGTAAGATATAGATTCTTTTCTTTGTCTGCAAAAATTTATTCATGTCTCCCTGCAGTCATGCCCACCTCTACTCATCTCCAGGCAACTTCTGATTATGCCAGTTTCGCCTGATCTAGAAAGTCCTATGAATGGAATGATTCAGCACATATTCTTTGTGTTTGGCTTCTTTTGTTCAATACAGTGTTTTCGAGATTCACCCACATTGTTTTATGTCACAATAGTTTCTTTGTTTTTATTTTAAGTAATATTTCATTGTTTAGATATACCGTAATCTGTTTTTCCATTTACCTTTTAATGGACATTTAAGTTGCTAATTGTATTGGGCCATTGTTCTGAACTCCTAAAATTTGAATTGCTGGGTCATATGATAAGTGTATGTTTATAAGCAACTGCCAAACTATTTTCCAAAATAGTTGTATCGTTTTGCACTTCTCTCAGCAACATAGGAAACTTTTATTTCCTCCACATGTTCACCAAAATTTGATATTGCAGCCTTTAAAATTTTAGCCATTCGTTTTGATTTTGCTTTTTTTTTTTTTTAAGATTTTATTTTTTTCCTTTTTCGCCCCAAAGCCCCCCGGTACATAGTTGTATGTTCTTCATTGTCGGTCTTTCTAGTTGTGGCATGTGGGATGTTGCCTCAGCATGGCTTGATGAGCAGTGCCATGTCCACGCCCAGGATTCGAACCAATGAAACACTGGGCCACCTGCAGCGGAGCACGCGAACTTAACCACTCGGCCATGGGGCCAGCCCCTTGATTTTACATCTTTGATGACTCTAATGATATTGAGCATGTTCGCATGTCCCTTTGGCCATTTGTTGTTCAAATAATCCATTCAAATATTTTGCCAGTTTTAAAAATTAGGGGCTGACGCCATGGCACAGTGGTTAAGTGCGAATGTTCCAGCTTGGCAGGTGCAGGGTTCGCTGGTTCAAATCCCGGGTGCGGACATGGCACCACTTGTCACGCCATGCTGTGATAGGCATCCCACACATAGGGCAGAGGAAGATGGGCATGGATATTAGCTCAGGGCAGTCTTCCTCAAAAATAAATAAATAAAATAAAAAGTAGGTTGTTTAGTTTTTATTATTGATTTGTAAGAGTTCCTTATACAGACTGGATACCACAACTTTGTCAGACATGTATATTACAAACATGTTTCTAGTCTATGTATTTCCTTTTCAGTTTCTTAACCTCTTTGAATAGCAGGCATTTTTTTGAAGTGCAATGTATCGTGTTTTTCTTCTGTGGTCATGCTTTTTCTGTCCTAAAAAATCTTTGCTTACTCAAGGTCGTGAATATTTTCTCCTATGTTTTCTACTAGAATACTATTGTAACTTTTACATTTAGTCTGTGATCCATTTTGAGTTTGCTTTTGTGTTTGGTGAGAGAATTGGGTTGAGGTTCATTATCCTCCATACGAAAATCAAAGTTTTCTAGCAGTATTTGTTAAAATGACTATCTTTTCATATTGTATCACCTTAGTGCCCTTATGAAAATAAATTACCATCCATGTGTATCTATTCCTGGATTCTGTTCTGTTTATTTATATGTCTGCCCTTATGCCAATTCCACAGTGTCTTGATTGATGTACTTTATAATTTCTTGAAAACAACATAAATCATCCCACTTTGCATCTCTTTTCAGCATAGTTTTCCCATTCTGGGACCTTTGTATTTCTATATAAATTGGAGAATCAGCATGTGAATGTAGGGACTTTGATTGGAGTTTTGTTGTATCCATATAATCTTCCATCAATTTGGGGGGAATTATTTTCTTACCAATACTGAGTCTGCCAATCTGTGCACATGGTGTATCATTCCACTTATTTCGGTCTTCTTTAATTTATTTAGTTCTTCTGTAGTTTACTTTTCTTGATATTATTGCTTTAAAATGTTACTTAACAATTATCCATTGCTAGTATAAAAAAATTCAGTTGCCTTCTGTGAGTTCACCTTGGGTTTAGTGTTGATTAGAAGTGCTGAGAGTGTTCCTTCTGGTTTTTATTTTTAGGGGGAAAGCTTTCTCACCTTCACCATTAAATATGTTAGAGATATATAGGTATAGATATAGATTTTTTTTTTTTAGCAGATGCCGTTTATCTTAAGTTGTCTTCTATTTCTAGTTAGCTGGGAGCTTTTTTTAATTGTTGAATGAATTCGATGTGTAATGTATAATTTTAAGTTGTACAACGTGTTAATTTGACACATTTATATATTGTAATATGATTGCCAATGTAGCAATATCTATCACATTATGTAATTATAGTACAATACTATTGTCTATATTCATTATATCGTGCATTAGATCTCTCTGGCTTATTTACTACTCATTATGAGTTTGTACGCTTAAACACCATCACTTTTATCCTCCCACCCTCACCTCCTGGTAACCACCATTTTATTCTCTGTTTTTTACAAGTTTAACGTTTTTAGATTCCACATGTAAGTGATACCTTACAGTATGTGTCTTTCTCTGTCTTACTTATGTCACTTGGCATATGTGCTCAAGGTCCATCTATGTTGTCGTAATGAATGGATATATTCCTTTCTCATGGCTGAATAATATTCCATTGTGCATGTCTTTTTTTATCCATTAATCAGTTGATGGGCATTTGGATTATTTCAATATCTTGACTATTGTGAATAATGCTGCCATAAAAATGAGAGTGCATATATCTTTTCAAAATCTTGTTTTTGTGGAAAATCCAAGATGGCGCCATGAGTAGTCCTCTTTGTCTCTCCCCCTTCGAGTCTACAATTATTTGGACACTTATCGCTTAACAAAGGATATCCAGACAGCATCTCAGGACGTCTGAGACACCCACGCGACTATACATCGGAAGGCGGACGGACTTTCCTCTGGGAGGATGTGGAAATAGGTGAAAACTCTCCGACCCCGACGAGCAGCCTAGTACCTGCAAGCGGCTTTCTTCCAACGGACGCCCCCAGAGGATCTACACACATCTAGGGCAGGAGCGAGCACACAACAGAGGAGTGACGGTGGAAACAGGTGACCAGAACCCTACCTAAACCCCCCGCAATTAATCCTAAACACAGAGGGAAACTTTGGAGTTGCACACCTGAGCCCACGGGGAGAGTCTCTCCCCGCCATTGGTGGGGAGACCCCGCCTGGTGCTCGCGGTGCCCGGAGGGTCCCAGAGAGAGTCGCGGAGGGTACGGAGGTCTCCCAGCTGCCGTTGCCCGCCCTGTGGGAGTAGGGATTGCCGGAGATCTTGGAGAGGACCGGGGCTGGGGGAACTTTCAAAGGCCGGCTCTGCGACCCGGAGGGGAAGCGCCGGAGTTCCGCCCGGGCAGCAGACAAAACTCTCTGTCTGCCATTAGCAGAGGGGCCACGCTGAGCATTCATGGCTCCGGGAGAGGCCCAGAGAGTATCCCAGAGGGCAGGGCAAACCCCAGCTGCCGTTGCCCGCCCCGTGGAACTAGGGATTGCCGGAGATCTCAGAGAGGACCGGGGTGGGGGAAGTTTCAAAGGCCGGCTCTGCGACCCAGAGGGGAAGCGCCGATGCTCCGCCCGGGCAGCAGACAAAACTCTCTGTCTGCCATTAGCAGAGGGGCCACACCCAGCATTCACGGCTCCGGGAGAGTCCGGGAGAGAATCCCAGAGGGCGGGGTGACCCCCAGCTGCCGTTGCCTGCCCCGTGGGACTAGGGATAGCAAGAGATCTCGGAGAGGACTGGGGCTGGGGGGAGTTCCAGAGACCCAGCTTCGTAGCCTAGGGGGAAACCCTACAGGCTCACAGCAGCCTTAGGGAAAGCCTATGCACAGCACCAGTAGAAGGCACCCAGCCGCCAGCCACAAGGCTGGAAGACCCCAGGGCAAAAGCAGCATAGCTAGGTGAACTAACCACAGACTGTAGAAGATGACAATAGCTCTCCTGCGACCCATAGAGGCCAAGTGAGATTTTGTGGGTGCCGACAGCAACGGAGTGACAAATATAAGTGATCCCACCCCTAGCCGCTGGAAAAGCCCATAACACTGTTGCAGACCCCAGGGAGAGAGCACATCTAGGTGGGCTGCAACAGTAGGCACCAGCAGCCTGAAGCCCCCCTGTGACAGCCCCCACGGCAGAGGAGGGAATCCAAAGGGCCACTGTGGCTACAAAGAGGGGCACAGGCCCAGATAGCAACTACGGACAGGGTTCCTGGTTGGTGCAGTATAAACAGCTGCTCCCCCACCGCAGCAACTGAAACAAGTGAAAGGAGCAACTAAACTCTATCTACATGCAGAGGCACAAATCAACAACATCAAGAAATATGAAAAAATACATTAAATCTC